GCGGGTGAGGGACGCGATGTCAGAGCAGTAGCAGGGCCACACCACCGTGTGCCTTGCAGGGGCAGAGTCAGAACTCGGGCTTTATTCTGAATGACGTGGGGAACTGCTGGAATGTTCTGTGTAACAAGATCTGACTTGGGCTTTAATGGGATTGCAGGGTGGGGACAAGGTGGAGACAAGGAGACCTCTTAGGGGGCTCCTGCTGTGGTTTGGTGGAGCCGCCAAGGGGCCGTCCAGGGTGCGGAGGGCATTCTCTCCCTCCAGGCCTCCCCCATGCCTTCCCCAGACAGCAGCTGCCCCTCCTGCTGTGCGTGGGTTATTAAGGCGATCAGCAGCAGCAGCAGTGGAGTGGTGAAGGAACAGGCCCTGGAAAGCCAGGGTTTTGGTTCGGAGCCACCACTTCCTGCTCGTGTGCTCTTGGACAAGTTCCTTAACCTCTCTGTGCCTTGTGTCCTCATCTATAAGGTGGGGAGAACAATAATTCTTGCCTCCTATTGGTTTTTTTTTTTTTTTAATGAGACAGAGTCTCACTCTGTTGCCCGGGCTAGAGTGCCGTGGTGTCAGCCTAGCTCACAGCAACCTCAAACTCCTGGGCTCAAGCGATCCTCCCGCCTCGGCCTCCCAGGTAGCTGGGACTAGAAGCATGCACCACCATACCCAGCTAATTTTATATATATATATATATATTTTTTTTTTAGTTGGCCAATTAATTTCTTTCTATTTTTAGTACAGACGGGGTCTCACTCTTGCTCAGGCTGGTTTCAAACCCCTGACCTGAGTGATCTGCCCGCCTCGGCCTCCCAGAGTGCTAGGATTATAGGCGTGAGCCACTGCCCGGCCTCCTATTGGGTTTTAGAGGATCAAATGACACAACCTGTACAAAGTATCTGGAATGCAATTTTAGCTTTTATTATCACAGGAAAACAGAGAGGAGTAACAAAAGTAATTAAAAGAGATTTCCCAGGGCGCTATCTCTGACTTGTATTTAAAGGACTAAGCGCCAGCACCATGCCGAGCACAGGCAACAAAGACCACGCTGGAGGAACAACACACTTGAACGAGGCCCTGTGCCGAGTGTGCCCTGGAGGCACCCACAGTTCCATCCTGGGGAGCCCGGTTGAATACCATTCGTCTGTGTTACGTGATTGCCTTAGGTGGAAATATTAATATGAATATTTTTGCAGAGGGTCAGGCAAACTTGGCAGAAGTGTGAAACAACACGCAAAGTCAAATCATCAGAAACGTCATCCTTCTAGAAAACGTGTCTCCGGGCACCAGCGACTCCAATGCACCAGCCTCTTTTTGCCGAGCTGGCGAAACCGACGTGCCATCAAAGCAGACTTTGCCTCCTCCTTCCAAAAGCGTTTGCCGGGCCAGCACTGCCAGGGCCCTGGGGAGCTCCGGGGAAACCTGTGTCTGCCCCAAGGGGGGCTGGGGGTGTGCTCCTGAGAGGAGGGGACCAGGGCACAGGAGGAAATGACGGCCTGGTTGGAAGGGACTGCGGGAAGCCGGGGGAGCCTGGCTGCCCCCGCTCTGCCCCGGGACAGTCAGACCGAAGGAAAGGCATGGAGCTCGGACCCTGACCGGGTCACTTGGCCGTGTCTTTGGTAGGGAAAGTCTGATCTCGACCAGACAGAGGGACATTCAGAAGGCGCGGTCCACGATGAGATCATGGAGTCTGGGATGGGGCCAGGAGCCCGAGTGCTTGAAACGGGCTGACGGGTTCTCGGGGGCTCCTTACGCCACCCTCTCTGCTTTCGGAGGTGTTCATACTTTCCACAAGGAATGGGGAAAGAAAACTGGGACGCACAGCCTGGGCCCTGGTTCCAGCCTCCTCCGCCACCGCCAGGACCGGTGGAGCCTTCTCTCGCTCTGTGCCCTCGCCGCTAAGGCAGAAATACCTTGTTTCCCTGCGGAAGCCAGACGCCAGCATGTGGCTGGACCACTTAGGGTGGTCGTTTTGTGAAACAGATGCACGGGCGCGAGCATGGAGCAGTCCCGCGCCGTGAGGTCACAGGCTGCTGTGTGTCCACGCGCCGCGCACGCCATGTGCAGCACCGGGCCAGCGCCCGACAGGAGGCAGGACGCCCCGGCCCCCACAGGCTCCCCAGGGCCCCTCCCAGCCACTGCCCCACTGCCCACGCCCAGGTCCCCCTCAGCCTGGCTTCTCTCAGCCTGGTTAATCCTGCCTGTTCTCCAACTTTACGTAACAGGGACCATAAAACCTGTCGTCAGTCTCTGCGAGCCTGGCGGTGTTTTACAGCCCCAAACGTTATGGCATGTTTCCTACTTCCTGGTATGAGCCTACTCCCCGAGGCCAGCCTGCTGCAATCCTGAGAAAATGTTTGTCCTGCTAAATAAACAGTCGCGCTCTCTCCATGGCAACAGTTGGGTAACTGAGGAAAATGTGACCGCAGCCTTCCAAATATGGAGGGGAGGGAGGCTCGGGGGAGAGGCGTTGTCTCGGCCTCACTAGGAAACCTCCAAACACTCTCAACTCAGCCTTTTAAATTAATCCTTGAATATGTAGAAGCGTCAGATTTTAAAACAGTAACAGATGGGAAAGTGACAGCTTCCTGACTTCAGTGCACAGGGACGAGGCTACCGGACCTAGGAGGCTGAGAGGCATCTGCTCCCCACGTACCTGAGCTGTTCTTATTCCACCCGGCTCCTTAAAGAGATTTCTGTCTGCCACCCTCAGGAGGCCACACGGGCTCCGCACGGCAGCCCACTCTGCCTTGGGAACCGCCAGCCTCTGAAAACCAAAGGGCCTGCCCTGCCTGCGTTCACTGCTGTCCCTTTACTGCCGCTGACCTGCTTGGGAAGACAGCGCCAGGCTTGTTATAAGCGTGTACACGACGGGCGCAGAAGGAGTTAAAAGGCGCCCGAGTCCACAGAGCACAGGCTCAGGGCAGGGCCCGCCGAGGCCCCGTCTGCACCTTCTGCACACCCCCCCCCCCCCCGGGGTTCCACAGGTGGGCCAGCTGTCCACAGGGCGGGGCACAGGGTGGGCACAGCTGCAGCGTGTGCGTCTCTAGTCAGTCCTGCCAAGCACGGCAGTTTTCAAAAGGTAAAAGCAACACCCACAGTGCCAGTCCTCCTTCTGACCAAATGCTGAGTGGTCCCGCCAGCTGGCCAATGACCTCACGGAGCCTGTGGTTTGCCGAGTCCCGGCGAAGTCACATCACCACTTAAAAACAGAGGCGTGCCCACCAGTGTTTCCCAGGGCGCGAGCAGCAGCGCAGTCGGGCGGCAGCTTTCCTGTTTCCTTCCAAGCACAGCAGACGTGCCTCCCAGGGTTACGTTACGTGACCCCAAGGCAAGAGCACGCCAGAAACCTCATCTCCCGCCTAGGTGCCTGGGAAAATCATCGCTACGGTAAAAGGAACCTGGGAACTGAAGCAGACCTCCCAGAGCTCCTCTACGTAGCCTCAGTTTCTCTCTGCAGGAAACTGAGGCCCAGAGCAGGACCCGAGTCACCCAGCAGTGGCCAGCTGCCTGCCGAGGGGCTCCCCCTTCCTGCCCGGAGCTCCACAGCAAGCTGGGGCTGTGCTAGTTCTGTACCCATGAATCACGCCACGGTGACAGTGAAATAACTGCGAACACCCACGGTACCATCCCTACGCTGGCATATCACGCAGCTTCCACTTTACAAAAAAAGGAGCCCCTTTATTCATTATTCTCAAATGCCTGGCAAAAAACTGAATTTCCAATTCAAGCCTTCAGGTAGAGTCCCGGCCTCTTCCCAGTCAAACCCGGCTTGGGACCAGAAATCGCAGGTAGGGGCGGAGGGTGGGCATCTCCCCTTTGAAGCCAGAGAGGCCAGTGGCCTGCTGTGCCACATACAGGAGGTGACAGGTGTACAGAGACGGCTTCTGCCATAGTGCTGGGATTCTTAACACCTGGCGGACCCGAGGCCCCCTCCCCAAGTTCCCGCCCACTCAGGATCCAGCACCCAATTTGACCGAACCTCTCAAGTTCATTCTGACCCAGGGTGACAGAAAGGCCCTGCAGACACCCCGGGCCTGGGCCTGCCGCGGTGTGTGCCCAGCCTGTACACTGGGGCCCCAGTTTCCTTATCTGTCAAGCCAAGGGGTTACCCTGGATGATTTCCAGGGTGCCTTCTGGCTCCGCTGTTCTGCGCGTATGAATCAGCTCTCCAAACTGGCTCCTCCTGTGTAGGTTGCAGAAACCTTGGCAACCCACTTGTCATCCCTTACCCGGCCTTCCTGGAGGGGGAAGCAGGCCGCCACCCACTCCCAAGTTCACATCCAGAATTTGGCAGCCAAGGGACACCCCAGAAGGATGGTGTGGATTGCTCCACCAAAAAGTGGACACCGTCCCTCCTTTTATCCACCCTGGCGAGAGGGAACAAACACAGGTTGGTCCAGGGTGAATTTCGAGGCCCGGCTAGGCACAGGGGCTTTCTTGTCTCTGCTCACCCATCCCGGGGGCCATGGGTGTCCAGAAAAGCTACCGCAGCGCCTATCCCTGCCCCTGCCCCTGCCTGAGACTTGGCGCCCTGGCCTCAGGGCAGGAATTCAGGTCTCCAACGGGCCTTGGGTGTCCCTTGGGTGTCCCAGGGACAGCTGCGCTGACCCTCTGCTCCCCTGGCCTTCCCCATGAGGGGGAGGGGAGGAGGGATCCTAAAAGAAAACCGTTTAAAGCCCGCTGCGGTAGCCACTCAGCAGCTCCGAGGCCTCACGCCAGCTGCCTAACCTCTACGGACCTCAGTTTCTCGGTCTGCAAAATGGGGATGCTGATCTGAGCGCGGTTCCCGGGAGCGACACGGCGCCGGCGAGGGCGCGCCGCCGCCACAGCCCGTCCCATTCTGAGCAAGACCGAGGGCCCCCCGCCGCGCCCCACCCGCCCAGGCCGCTTCCCGCCGGCGTCCGCCGGCCCGCGAAACTCCGGGGTGCGCCCGGCCCGGCCGCTCGGGGCGGCGATTACGTAAGCCGCGGGCCCGGGCCGCGCCGCCGCCCGGCGCGCCGCGCACTCACCGCCCAGCCGCGTCCCGGTCCGCCGGCCGCGCGTCCCTCCGTCCGCCGCCGAGCGCCCGCTCTGCCCTCGCCGCCGCCGAGCCGCGCGCAGCCCCCGCTCCGCCGCCCGCCGCTGTCACATAGTGGAAAACGTGACCGCGCGCGCCGCCCCGCCCCCGCGCCGCCATTGGCCGGCGCGCCGCCTCATCTGCATGCGGGGCGGGCCGGGCCTGCGAGCGCCGCGCGCCCATTGGCGGTGGCACCCGTCGCTCTCTTTACATAAGACGCACATGGAACTCCATGTTCCCCGCGCCGGTTCCTCAATGAAGCCGCGGCGTACTCGTGCCCCCCCCCCGGCCGCCCCAGTGGTCTCTCCCACTTCCGGCGTCGGCGCCTTCCATTCAAGACCGCCGGCGGAGTGGCGCGTACCACCGCGGGCGGGGGCGCGGGGGCGCGCTCCTTCGGCCGCCCTGGAAGGCCCGGCCTCGCGAAGCCAGGCCCCGGGAGACCCCCGCGCCGGCGCCCGGGAACCCCGGGGGCGCCCTTCACTCACTCATTCACGGTCGTTCTCGTACTCATTCATTCATGGCCGGCGCGGGAGCTGCCCGTGGCGAGGAGACCCGCAGCTCCGCGCGCACCAGGCCGCCACACCTGCCTGCGGCGGACGCGTCCCCTCCGCCTCCAGTGGCCTTTCTTAATTTTGAGACCATGTCTTGCAATTTTCTTTTCTTTTTTTTTTTTTTTTTTTGAGACAGAGTCTCGCTTTGTTGCCCAGGCTAGAGTGAGTGCCGTGGTGTCAGCCTAGCTCACAGCAACCTCAAACTCCTGGGCTCGAGTGATCCTGCTGCCTCAGCCTCCCGAGTAGCCGGGACTACAGGCATGCGCCAGTATGCCCGGCTAATTTTATATATATATTAGATGGCCAATTAGTTTATTTTCTATTTTTAGTAGAGACAGGTCTCGCTCTTGCTCAGGCTGGTCTCGAACTCCTGACCTCGAGCAATCCGCCCGCCTCAGCCTCCCCAGTAGCTGGGACTACAGGCATGCGCCGGCTAAGTTTTTCTGTATATATTAGTTGGCCAATTAATTTCTTTCTATTTTTAGTAGAAATGGGGTCTTGCTCTTGCTCAGGCTGGTCTGGAACTCCTGACCTCGAGCAGTCCTCCCCCCGTCGGCCTCCCAGAGTGCTAGGATTACAGGCGTGAGCCACCGCGCCGGGCCCATGTGTTGCATGGTTCAGGAGACAGAGTCACTGCTACTCTGAGAAGGTAGAGAAGAAATAAATGATGCCCTGCCTCCAAGCACCTGTCGGAGAGAAAGGACCGTCTGGTACAAAGGGAACTTAAGCAAATCCTAAATGGGGCGGTGGGGGTTACACATCAACCAGGGCCAGAGCGGTCCCCACAGGCTCCATGGGGAAGCGCGTGTGGGGTGGGGCAGGCCTTTGGAAGTCGGGGGGCCTTGGGGAGCTGGGGCCACAGAGACGTGGGGGACACGTGTGCTCCCGGGAGACAGCGCTCAACCCTGGAGCACCTCGTCATAGTTTCTTTTTTCGGTCAGCACTGTCTGGGGCATGCTAAGCCCCCAAACTTCCATCTGAAGTGTCAGGAGACAGTGGAACTTCCCCTCTGACTATGTAGACAGGAAACGCCTCGCAGGCTCCCCGGGCACAGGGGCGGCGGGCTCCAGACCGGCAGGGTCTGACCGGGCAGGCGGCGTTGGCCAGGGTCTGGAGGGCTGAGGAGACACGAGGCGTCTAAGAAGCTGCGGCCTGCAGCGTCTCCCTCCACTCTTCCTGTTCTCACCTGGGCTGCCCTGGCCGCCGGGGATGAGTCAGAGGGAAAAGTTACCAAGCGTAGCCTGTAGGTAAACCGAGCTGCGGCTTCCCGAGGCCAGCTAACCCACATTCAGGAGCTCCGCGTGTGCAGGCCACTTCTTTCCCTCCACCGGACGAGGTGTGCGTGCAACTTCTCAGAGGCAAACCCGGGCAATGCGGAGTTCTCCGGCAGTCCCGCTGACATGCACAGGCCCTGAGAGGCCTGCTGCGGCTCACACTTCCCTGGGGCGGGCCCTCCTCCTGCTCCTCTGACACTGACACCCTGACATACTCTCCGCCTCCTCTCCCGAACACGCACACGCACAGATGCCAGGCAAATCCAGGCCCGGCTGCACCCTCCACACACCCAAAGGCCTTTTTGTTTCTCCACTCGCATTGACGTCAATGGGGAGCTCCATTGTTCTGGAAACAAGAGCAAACAGACAGCTCATCCCACCTCACCGAGATTCTCCTCGGTGCTCGATATTTCCCGGGTCTTGCTGCATATTCAGCCTGCAGCCCAGTGTCACAGCTCCTCTCTAAATTTAGCCTTTTCTATTTCCACCAATAAATCTGGTAGGAAAAAATATTCCAATCGATTCTTTTAGAAGTTATCCACAGGTGTGGGCCTCCAGAAGTCTTCAAAATCTGATCTATTTTCAGCGTTTCACAGGCAGTTGCTTCTGTCTTGTTATTGGAAGTTTTCATTCACTTCACAAATACCTGCTGACACCTGAGTCCTGGGGGGGGGCGTGGCTCCCTGCTGCCAGCGCTCTGGGCTGTGGGGGGAGGGGGATGAGGCAGGTTCAGAGGCAATATTGTCTAAGATGGGGATCAGTCCCAGAGAGAACAGGACAGACGTGGGCAGAGCCTCCGCCCCAGCTCTGACGGAGGAGGATACTGTAGGGCGTGAACTCCTAGGGTCAGGCTGCCATGCTCGCTGGGGCAGGGTGGGGTGGGGGTTGGGGTAGAGAGACAGAGAGAGGGAGAGTAGGGCAGTCAGGTTAGAGAAGGAGGGAGTTGAAGCCTTTCCTAGCCAGCCCGCACTTGGCCAGCTGTCACCTCCAGCACAGAGCTCTTGGACAGGCAAGTGGCTGTTGGCACTGTGGGACGCAGACTGTCCGGAAGAAAGCCAGCCCCGCAGGTGGGGTGGAGGTTGAGTGGTGAGCTAGCACCCCCAGCCACCTGGGGAGTGCTGTCAGTGGAGGCACATGGCCTCTGGTCTCAGCCTTCACCCCACCTCCCAGCTACGGGCTGCTCTGTGCCCACCCCGCCCAGCCCACCAGCCTGTTTGCAGCACTGAGCCTGGCCCAGGTAGGCCCTGCCCATCATGCCTGGGCCCTGCCCGGAGGGCCCCCCTGTGCCGGGGACCTCCGCACTCTTGCCAGTTCACTCGCTGGCTCTCTCATTCGCTCCCACACTCAGTCAGCCAGCTGTTTACTGAGCAGCTACTACATGCCAGGCACTGTGCCTGCCACCGCCTCCTCTCCTTGTGGCTCTCATGGTTTGTGAAGGCAAAGAACAAAGGGCTAGGAAGACAATTACCTCTGGAAGTGGGGGTTGTGTGGCCAGCAGAGTCATCTCCAAGGAGATGGAGGGGACACTGTCAATCTTCCTGGCCCTCCAGCCTCAGCCCCTTCTGGGTCTAGGGCCACTGGAGAGGGTGATGCCCTACCCCCCCTCTGCAGCCTCCCTTGCACCCAGCGCTGACCTGCGCTGACCCCGGCTTCTTGTGTGACCCCAGCTTGGCACGTTGGCAGCTCCTGGCAGGGAGGCGCTCAGCCAGCTCCCAGAGGTGAGCCCAAGGACGTGGGCAGCTGTCCAGTGTCTCAGACCGGGCAAGACGAGGCCTCCCTGACCCCAGCGATCGGGAAGCCTGTGAACCAGGCGGGTGCCTGCCTCTGCATGTGAGGCTGTTTGTGGACAAATATAAAGAATGCATCGTTATCATGCCACCCACTGAGAAGGTTTATTTGATTTTTAAATTAAATGTAGATCCAGGGAGACTATCCTTTGTTTGGGGGAGACGTGTGCACATGAATACATGTGTGTGTGTGCGTGTGCTCGTATGTCTTCCCCCAGGAAGTCGCAGGATTTGAGCTGTCGCCAGTGAGTGGGCAGCCTCACCCAGGAGCAGAGCGGGTGAAAGGAAGCTGGGCAGGTCTTTGCTCAGAGCTTCCTGGCCTGGAATGTTGGTGCCCGTGTCCCCAGGGTTCTTTTGCAAAGGACATCTGGGACAACACAGGACTTGTGGCACAGGCTAGGACCTTCATCTGATGTCAAATAGAAGTGGTCAGAGTGGGCGTCCTTGCCCTGTCCCAACCTGAGGAAGAAAGTGGTCGGAATTTCACCATCCAGCAGGATGAGCCTTAGGTGTTTTGTTTTTTATAGATGTCCCTAGTCATACAAAGAAAGTGTCCTTGAGTTATAATTTGCTAAAAGCTTTCTGTTTGGTTTTTTGTGCTTTTTAAAAATCATACATAAGTGCAGTGGGCTTTTAGTCTATGGCAATTATTATTGCTTTAAAAATATCTCCCCCAAATAAATCTTTTTTTTTGGCAGATCTGCAAATAATCTAAATAGCTATAGCTTTGTCTCTGCTATACAATATTCTGTATAGACTTGTTCACTTCATTGTTGTATCTTAAACAAAAATATGAATGGATAGTTAAACTAATTAGTGCTCCAAAGATTCTGCCTTTTTAATGTTGTCCATCTCCTTTTTATTGCTATAGGAATCCAACGATTAAATATGTGCCCGTCAGTTTTGCGAATAAAAAGCATGGTTTTAACCAAAGCCAAAAATCTGTTTGCTACCACGTCACTTAAGAAAGGATTAAAACATCAAACTTTCTGGTCATGAGACCATCAAAAGAAAAACCAAGGATTTAGTCCAGATGACAGCTGTGCATTTTCGCGTGGCGGGGGAGCAGCGTGTAGGTGACGCTGGTGGCACACTCATGTTCTGGGTTGCAGGTCCAGTCTTTGCCTTGAGAACTTGCAGACTGATTTGTAGATCAGGTTTTCTGGTCTCTGGTAGCTTGAGTCCTTTGCCAGACCATCTGTGCCACCAGTACCCCTCCCTGTCCTGGAGGAGCCCAAGGGAGGGCGGGTTGCCAGCAAGGCCCCTCTCCCCATCCAACGTGATATCCTGTGTTCGAGGTGACCCCCCGTGTCCAAGGGTCCTCTTCCTTCACAGGGTGGAAGGCTGTCTCACTGGTCAGGGTGCATCCCAGAAGGCCAGCAA